TGTTGTGTTTTTTCCGAGGCAATTTTCCCTATAAAATTGTCTTCGGTATCTTCAGGAATATCAGCTATTGGTTGTTCGTCTATAGTGTGTAATTCTTCAACAAAAAATTTTTGATTTTGGTTATGTCGAAAGTCATTTTGATTTTGATAATTTTGATTAGGCTTAAATGTATTTTTTGTGGACGTTCTCATTGGAGTAGATTTCGGAAAAGTATGATTTGGATTTGGCTTAAATATATATGTCCTTTTATCAAAATTAGTATTTTTAATTATTTTACTAGTATTAGGTTGTGATGGATTACAGAAATAATTTTGTCTAACAGACGGTTGAGAGTTATGAGAAAAATTAGTAATTTGTAATTGTTTATTTGTGTTTCTATTTTTAAGAAAATTATTCCTAGGTACAAATTTACCTTTATAAGTATTTAAACCTTCAATATTGTTTTGGAAGTCATTTTTTAACATATTTAACGCGGAATTTAGATCTGCAGGATTTTTGGTGCCCATAAGTGAACCCAGTGGTTTTTTAAACCTTGTAACAATACTCTGAGAGCCAAATTACGACAATAAATTGATAAAGTAACTATTTCATGCCCAGCAGTATGAGCTTTTATATTAGAAATTTGAAGATTTAATAAGTGCTGTATTTTATTCAAAAAAATCAAAAGGTGATTCATTCCCTTGTTTGGTTTGCACCATCTCTATATATACCGTAAACATGTCTCTTTTATCGAAGTAAGTATTTAATAGAGCACCTTTTAAATCTGCCTAACTAGATATTGTGAAAGATGAAATATATATATATATATATATATATATATATATATATATATATATATATATATATATATATATATATATATATATATATATATATATATATATATATATTTCATCTTTCACAATATCTAGTTAGGCAGATTTAAAAGGTGCTCTATTAAATACTTACTTCGATAAAAGAGACATGTTTACGGTATATATAGAGATGGTGCAAACCAAACAAGGGAATGAATCGATAAACTCGGAGTTGTGACTTCCGTTATGTAAAACAGGCGACCTGACATCTGGGCTTAGGGACCCATATATGTATATTTTTTTGACATATATATATTGAGGGGGAATAACAAAATAGATTTTTCAAAAGAGGGGTAGAAAAAAATTATTTTGATTTTTTTTTATTACCTGCAAAGCGTTAAGACATCCAGCATATATAGCCTTGCTAGGTTGCCAGATTTACGGAAGTCAAAAGGTTGAATATATAGCAAACCAAGAAATACAGAAAGCACAATACAATAACACTTTTAAATGTAACCTTATATCTATCTGGTCTGTCGGCTGTATTCTTTTCAGATTTCAGTCTTTTAGTAATGATTGGATTTCCAAAAATTGGATTAGGCATTTAAAATAAAATAAATTCAAGGAAAAATATGTAAATGAAATAAAATAAATTTTAGTATTTTAATTTTTTATTCATATTAAACAATTTTTTTTTCTAAAAACGTTTATAAAAAAACAATTTTTTAACTCAGAATAAGTTTCATAATAACATTTAAAACTATTGTGGGTAATACGAATTATTAGAGTATCATGCTCATACTCTACGGACATTTTAATTCAAGTTTAATCAAATGTTGAATTTTAGATTTTATAGCAGGTGCCCTTCTTTTTGACTTATATTTTTCTATAAATGTCCTTATTTCTTTTCCGGATGGATAAGTATGTGATTTTATGTAGGAACCAAAATTCTTTTCGATTTGATTTATTTCAGTCTTTGTCCATCCTAACAAATAAAACAATATTAAGTCACTTCGTAAAAACCTATGTAATTCGTTGCTTTTTTGGCGTTGGTAGGCGCTACTTACTTGTTTTTTGAGAAATCTCCTTGACGTTTAATTTGTTATCTACAAATGTAATTATTGTTTATATTTATTAAGTACAGATGAGGTTATTACAATAATTAGTATTACTAATTAGAGCCTAAATTTTATGTCATATACTTATATTTGTATTTCTTTTAAAAAAAAACGCGACTGTTAGATAAAGTGTCATTTATTAATAGTTTCATTTATTGAAACTCTCCTATATCGAATACACGTGATACTAAAAATGCTTATCTCCTAGGTCCTATCAGATACCAAAAAGAAAATTAGGGAGGTTATAAGCAATAACGCCGTGCTAGAATAAAATATTTTTTTCAATTATGACACCCTGTACTTAATTTTAAATTAGAATTATTCTTTACTTCTTAATTTTAACAATATGAAGGTATAATGAGTTATACGGGGTATACTGGAAGTTATCACACTAATCAATCACCCTGTATAATAATAGATAAATATACATCAAATCATTGACAATAGTGGGCAAAATATAAATTTAACTTGCCCAGAAACTTTCACAAAAAAAAATAAATATTACTGAAATAGATCTAATAAAAGTATTATCTGTCATGCGAAGAGTTACACAACTATCTATATATTAAAGTTTTTAAATTTAGTACTGTGTCATTAACTAAAGCCAGTATGTTTTCTTTGTAAATGTCTTGTGAAGTTTTTATTAAAAATATCATCATCACAATAATTGCATCGAATTAACTTCTTTGCTTTGTTTTTGGTTGCCCAGAAAATCAGAAGTGAACAGTCGAGCTTAAACGTCGAGTGACAAAAAAGTCACCGTTTTTGGGACGTTAAAAATTTAATTAGGTGTAAATGTTATTAAAAAAAAAATAAAAAAATATCCCCATGAATTTGAATTTAAGCTTAAGAAGTTATATACATAAACTTACATAACGTTCTTCGCACACTGGCACGGTTTTTAGATTTGGTACAGAAATTTTTGAATTTTCATTATAGTTTGGTTGCTCTAATAATGCAAAATCTTTGTTTTGAAAAGTTTGATCGTTGCTTAGTGGTATAATCACGTCCTTGGTATTAGACGTACCTGCATTACTATGCATAGGACTTTTGATTTTATCGAGAAGGTCAGACATACAATCTTCTGATAATTCAAAACTACCTTCTTCAGATTCATTATAAATATAATCTTCATCTTTTGAGTCATCATCCACGATTGAACTGGATGTATTAGATTTTGTTTTATCTATTAAAAAATTATGTTCGGGAAAATTATTTTCATTTTTTTCTGTTTGAATGTCATAAAAAGTCTAAAACGAAGCATAGATTTATTTTTTTTAAATTACGTTTATAGACATTTTTCATATAAAGTTGGAAGGTCAGTATTCGAAGTTAAAGGTTCTTCTATTTTATTATTATTTTGTAAGTATGTGTTATGGTTCATCTCTATAGTAAATGGTAAGATTTGAAAGTTGGAAATAATCTAAAAGTCAAATCATTATTTTACTAAGATTAAAATAAAAAGTCTTTTTACTAACTTTTATTTTCTTATTTGGAGGTGACGTTTCGTTATTAAAACCTAATAATTTTTCAGTGCACGTTTCATCTTCATTTGATTCTGCTGCATTAGGGAGTATTGATTGTTGTGTATAAATTTTACCTTTACTAGTATCGTATTTCTCATTATCAAAACCGATGGTTGAGCAATCGTCAAATGGACTATTTTCGACCCATTCCTAAAATTTTTATTTCAATTTTTAAAATAGCCCTTGCAAAAAGTTGAACAAGTACGTACTAATTACAAATTATTAAATTGTTGGTTACTATAAACATCTTCGAAATGGTCTTTATTAAAAGTTGTTTAATTATATCTGATAGTTTAAAAAACATTTAAAACAGGTCCAATTTTATTTAAAAGAAAAAATGTATGTCATAATACAGAGTGGAACAAATTTATAAATTAAGCTCTAAATAAATATAAATTAAGCCTTTTCAGTACGCAGCTGGCACAGGTTAGGCAAATAATAAACATAAAATATGATTGCCCGGGAATTTAATAACAATCAAAATATATCGGATGTTCATAAAATATGCTGTCTCAAGTGTTTCATTTTAATATCTTTAGTTCACTACTGAACATTCAGTACAAATGCAAATTTTTATTAGATTAGTAAAATTTAAGACACCAATAATTTGGGAACCAGTAAATATTTAGTATTAGTATATGTAACCAAATTTCTAACTTTGCTGTACCCTACAAAAAACGATTAATAATACTTACATTAGTTTTTTGAAAATACATATCTGTTAAAGAAACTTTTTTGTTAGGCATATTCTCTTTGTTTTCGCCTAAAACAAGGAGAAACAAAATTATATAATGTTTATACTATATTTATTTATAACAAAAATTCATGCTGTAAAGACAACAGGGGCGATTTTTTTAAAAACCAAAATAGTTTTTGTAGTTGAAAGTTCGAGACAAAATTTTAAACACTCAATCTGAATTATGAATTTTGTGGAATTTTGTTTTTAACGACTATGAGGCATTTAAAAATCACACTGCAACTAGCATTTTTTTTAAGAACGAATATCTCGAAAACGGCAGATATACTTTAGGTAAATAAAATTATACTACTCCTAGAATTCAAAAATTTAAAAATATACAAAGCGTTACATTTAAAATAAGGAAGTTGATACCAACTTCCAGTATATCCAGAAGTAGCTGGTTGTTTTTAACGTTTTTAATCTCTAGGACATCCCCAAAAATGTCATATCCCAACTTTATAGATTTTATTTCAGTCTACTCCTAAAACCCCTATACTTAGCCATCTAAAAAAATCACCCTGTATATTGTCCTGATGGTACTCAGAGGGTTAACCTGTTTGATAACTCACTTTAGCTAGATAATTTTTTTCCCCAAAGCCTCTTTCATAATAATAAAATAATAAAAATGATTAAAAACATTAGCATATTACACTTACCTAAAGCCATTGAAATCATTAATTGACTTCGTTTCATTTTCACTACGATCTGCTTCGGTTCAGCGTAACTACCGAAATACAGTAAAAGCGCCAAACGTGTGATTCTCCGGATTCTCGAGATACGAACGCCGTGTTGCCACGTTTATGTGGTTTTTAGAAGTCACAAGATGCGATATGTATGTAAGAAAATAATGGAAGTGATTACGTCGGGAACATAAATCCTTAAATTACGACTCTAGCGTCAGCGGCAAACGCTCGAACTAAAAACGGTATACGATGCATAAATTGATCGTTCTGTGACCTCCAAGTCAATTTTCGTTAAACGACTGTACACACCTCTTTGATGACGCCACACAAATTTTACATAGGAAACGTTGTGACTTCCAAAATTGGAAGCCTTAACGTATATATGAAGTCATAACGAATATAAAGTATGCGGTTTTGAAGTCATAAGGTATGGGTTATAAATGTATATATATATATATATATATATATATATATATATATATATATATATATATATATATAATCTATTAACAAGTAGTGCTTTATTCCCTAATTGTAATTTTAATTATTCTTTCTTAAGACTATTGGTCAAATTTTGTACTTATTGAAAATATATATTTGTTAATGTTTTAATACTTATTATTAAGATTAGATTAGATTAGGAGTCGGACGTTATTTGTCCTTGTCCTCCGCGACCTTTTCAGATCTATTATGGGATTTCGTTTGTTTTAGAGTATGTCGTCTAGCCTAGTCTTTTTTATTAGACTAAGTAGTTTTGACAGTGGCTCCCGCATGCAGTTGCATGAAATTGGCTTTTCTTTGCCCAATGTTAAAAACCTCATTCCAGCCAGGCCTTCACATTGGCACAGGACGTGGAATGATGTATCCTCTTCTTCTTTACAAAACCTGCACAAGGTTGCTTCTTCTGCTGGATTTATGACACTCATGTGCCTTTTGAGGCGACAGTGTCCAGTAAGAAGGCCTACTGTTACCCTAAAGATTTAACGCTTTTGATGCAGTAGGTCTTTCGTAAACTTGGTCGATGGTTCCTTGATGAATTGTTCGGCCTGTCTCAGTCTTGGATAGTTGTTCCAAGATTCCTGATACTCTTTTTGCATCCATTGTTTAATGGATGCATTGCACAATGCCTTAGCAACTCAACAGAAGGGTTCGGGGCCTGTCATGGCCTTATCTGAGCCTTCTCGGGCTAATTCGTCGGCCTTTTCATTACCCTGATATCCCTTATGGCCTGGAACCCAGGTTAAGGTTAGTTATTGTTAATCTCTCCTTCCCCATTTAAAACCAGGCAAATATTTCAAGCATTTGAGAAGCCTCGGCGTTTCTATTCCCATAGGACTAAAAGAGTCTTAAACTAGTTGCCAAGAACCACTCGACTATGCTATTAAGGGATAATTTTTGTTCTTTTAATTTAATTTTTTGGTATTTTTATTTGCCACTGGTAAATGGATGTTCCTTCTGGACTCCAGGACCTTTTGGCTGGTGACAGTGCTGCATTAATCTCTTAATAGTATACTAACAACAGTAGCTAAAGCTATATCAGTAGTTACAAGTGGTCTCTAGTATAGTTAATTGTTACAACGTCATAGTTCTCTATTTAGGTGTGCCTGATGATGAAATAACTGCTTAAAAACTGGTCGCTGTTAAATAACTTTGTGACAATTATAGGACTTTTTTTCCACCTCCTTCTATGTTTGAATTCTGACGGGACTGCTGACAACATATTTTCCTCTAGGTAACTTCATGAGAAGAATAGGTCTGAAATAAATATCTGACTGTTGATTCTGCAGCGTGGAAGACGAATCTGCAGAGCACATTCTATGTACCTGCTCCACCTTGTAAACAACTTGGTTCCAGATCTTTAGACAAGTATAACCAAATTCAACCATGTCCTTAATCAAAAGGTGTGGCTTGTACGGTGAACTTAACCTTACCTAACTTCTAACTCCTTAACTCTCATAATATTCTGGCTATCCTCACCTTTAATGAATAAATTATTATTATTTCTTAAATAAAATATGAATGGCAACTCCTAAAAAATTTCATTTTGAAAATAAATACTTGTATAAAATCAAGACACATAATATATACAATTATTAAGACACCTTTAATTTATTCAGATTCAAAAATTTATTATATTTAATTTTCTTCTAGATATCAGCCTTCGATTACGAATCTTCACGCTTCAAAATCATCACGTTGCCTGCTAGTAACCGCGTGGATCTCGTTTACCATTTTCAAACGCATTATGGTGCAAAATATGACATCAAAGTATCTACGAACTTTCCCGGGTCGAAAGCGACAGAGGCTGTCACATACAAAGTCCCAAATTTCCTCCAACCGTATAAAGTTCGGGTCACGTCGAACCCAGAGGCTGGAGCTTTCATGATCTATTGGCAAGAGCCCTACTTACCTTATTTCATAGACAGGCTCTACTACGAGGTTAGTAATGTTTTATTAATTATACAAATCGATTTCAGTTGACTATTAAGTATATAGAAAATTCATGTGAAATTAAAACCGTTTTCATTATTAATTTATAAGGTTTCTTGTTAGTAAAAAATATCTAGAGAGCAACGTCAGTTAGTACTTAATTTCGATTAATAGAAGGCAATATTTTTTTTTATTCGAATGTGACATAAAATGTCATTTTCGGAGAGGAGACATAATTGAAAAGAAGAACTCTTAAATATACTAAAAATGAACTATTAAAAAGTACTTTTAGGGCCCAGGCCGCAAAAGGAAAACGGTTCCTTTATCTAAACATTCTCTTTTATTTTTGATTTACCTTTAAACACTGCTGACGATATTTTTTTGCTATTGTAAAATAGTAGTCCATAACCCACATGTACATCAAATTTAAATAGTAACATTTTTAGTTGAATAAGAGAAAAACTAAATAAAGTAGAGTACGATTCAACTAAGAAAAAGCCACACACATCATACCTGATAAAGGCCGCAATAATTTGCCTCTCTCTCTCAGGTCCATCCCATTTAAGCGTCAGTGGCGTTTTGGCGATTTTTAATAATTATCTTTATCGGCCTTAGTCGGCGAACGGCCAATGAGCGGTTAAGAAACGAATAAATGTCATAGAAGTAATTTTTTAATTGGTCCCAGACAACGGTCGCAAATTTCACATTATTGTGATCTGAAATGTGTGTCTAAAACGAAATATCACTGTCAAATTAAAGTCAATATGGTTGTTGTTTGATGTCAGAAATACTTTTTTCTTGCTTTTGAAATCGACTTTTTGAGAATAACTATGATCTTCTTAAAATGGATATTAACTATTTAAGAAAATTGTTAATGGAATATCCAGATGTAGCCAGGTTAGTATAAAATATAAAGATCTGTTTACATTTTTAAGGATAATTTGTTATAGGTATAAAAAGTAAAAGTTAATCAGTGAATGACAAGTGGATCACACAGTAACTGGTATCTCTTCTATGAGTAATGTGGATATTATGGCTTATTTAGTGTCAACCCATGGTTAATGCGCTAGAGGGTAAATAAAGGCATTCAAAAGTTTACAGGCCTATGAGTCAGAATTTGTTTTGAAAACTGGAACCAACATTTTCATAACACTACATGTCAACATATATTTTTTGAAGTGAACTATTCATACATACATACCTATTTATTAATTTTAAGTATTTTTCAAATATTTTATGTGAAAGTAATAGAGAGTTGAAGTATTTCCAGTACGTTAACGTAAACGTGAACGCAAAAATAATGTTTACGTTGCTGTATAAAATATAAGTTGAAGTTGTTAAACGCATCGTGACATTTACGTATCATGACAAATAATGACAGTTAATGACATATTATATTGGGATTTCTACTTTTCCTATTAAAAAGAGGTTATTTTGTTTGCGTTACGTGTATACGCCAGAGCCCGTAAGTTTACGTATGTACGTAGACGTAAACGTGAAGGATATTTTAATAGGCATGCGCAGATGTCAAATCTCACGTATACGTTTACGTTTATAACATCACTTCAACTCTCTAATGTTAACTCATTGTGCCAAATTAAGATTATTCCTAAAGTAGTAGATGGTGTTTTAAATGTTATAACAATTTTGTAAATAGTTTTATTCTATTCTAATAAATAAAATTTGTTTAAATATTTAGTTACATTTTAATCATTTTGGTTAGAAAATCATCAATTTTTAATTTTAAAAAATCAGTAATAAAATTATTTTTTTTTTAAAATACTTCGTAATTCATCTCTTCATGGTAATCTCCCATCTTTTTACCTTCAAAAACCAATAATGCATTTTCTACAAAACCTTCAGAATCAGCATGTAAAATAATAAGGTGTCTTCCCTTTCTTGTAAGGCTTTTTAGGAATTGCTACCTTTAATAGTACTCAGTGTAGAAGAATCAATAATTGTAGATTTTCAATACAATTGCTTACTGAAGAACTATTATTTACGAAATAAAGTAAAAACTAAGTAATGGATGAGATATCAAATTATAAAATATCAGAACTGTCAACAATATTAATTATTAGCTGATGTTCGTGCTAAAAAGTAATGTGTGAAACTGACTGTAATCTGACCAATCAGAAGGCTACAGAATTGCCAACTTAAATTTAAATCGCTTCTCTTGGTTTAAAAACAGAGTATAATAGTTCATTAACAATCGAACTAGTTTCACTTTTTGCACTAGTTGCATAAATAACTATTATTTTAATTGTAATAAAAATCTTAAATTACAAAATTGTGTTGCTATTTTTATTTACTTCCCACTGAATGTTTTGCAAGTCTAAAGTCGAAAAATATATGTAATGTTATTTTAGTTTAGTTATTTAGGTAATATACAAATGTTTAAATCATTAAAATTTAACTTTTTAATCCAATAAATGTTTTTTTTGGTAAACTGCTTAAATTTTTATGTAAATAAGAGCTTACGCCACTGGTATATCGATCTGGAGCAACGGAGAAGGAATATTTTAAAGTGAGGCAGACGATGACTAGTTGATGACGCCCGTGGCTTTTTCTAAGTTGAATCGTACTCTATAAGTAAATCAATTTGATATAAGCACACTAACATGACAGCAATTGTCCAATTGTTATCAAGAATGTACCTACTTAGTCATTCTTATTAATCGCAGCCATCTCAGTTATAAGACAAATTGTAAATAATATTATTTTGGATTTAATTTTCTTAATCTTTTTAATATCTATAAGCACATTCGAATACAAAGTGAATTTTCGGACTCCTACGAGTTGCCAGGCGAGAAGTAGCCGCCCGAACAACTTAATTTTGCGTCCTAATAACATAAACTACCATTTTCTGTTAGAACATCTAGTAAAAGTACAGTAAAAACATGACAAAAATTAAAAACTGAATTCACTTGGAATCTTTTATTCATACCTTGCCTAATAATATGCTATTCAAGCAAATAAAAACTATGTTAACAAGAATTTAACGTTTTATGATTTATAAAACCTTAGAAATATAGCATGTTTTTTACAATTTATTATCCAAGTTGTACCAAAAACTGACTCTTAAATTTGAAAGTAAATTGTTCATGGTACCTCAAGCTTTTTAATTGCTTTATGTAGGTTGCTTGGCACTATTCCTATCGCAGATATAATTAACCTTGTGTATATTATTGTTATACAATAAATTTTAAATTTTGCTGCTGTGATTCCTGCATCCTGTTTTAGCTGCTGCTTTTCTATACTTCCTCCTCTCCTGCCCCTTGCTCTAGCACCTTGCACCTTTGATAATTTGTGTTCTGCGTCTTTCACTGACCGATCTCTTCTGATTCCTGCTTTTTTTAGTATAGGCTGATATATCAATACTGCAGAGCAGCAGTACTACCAAAAATATCATTTACATTTTACATAAATTATTTTAGACATTTTAAAATATACTAAATAAAGATTTTACGAATAATTTCATTAATTTTAAATTAATTTTAATTTTAATATTAAATAGTAAATAGTTTGTGCGCACTGCACCTCTTGAGCCACCGGCCGCTCATTAACTACTTTAGTTCTAGTAGTTCAAATAGGTTTATGGCTGTCGAAAAGATACCTAATTAATAAGTTTGCGAACAACTAAACTTTCTTGTCAATAGTATTTTAATCAAAAATAAAAAAGGTATATTGAAATACATCTTTTTTATTTTTGATCAATATACTGCTGATAAGAAAGTTTCGCTATTAGCAAACTTGTTTACTAATATTTTTGACTATCAAGGGTACTAAAACCTCACATAAACAAATGAAATATAGATAAGTTATGGGCGCCGTTCAACATAGGCTTTGTTTCAAGCCTGTATCTACGAACTTTATTTTAAAATTAGGAGAAATTATTATTTCTGGAACTCAACAATAAAAAATCCAATTTACTTTTTCGTTATATACCTAAACGCGGTCTAGGACATTTGGGCGCTATCGTTTGGGCGCGTAGACGTATGGGCGCGGAGACATTTGGGCGCGGGAAAGGAGGCTCAGTTATGGTGTGGGCCGGAATTTCTATGGAGGCACACACAGAATTGTACATCCTTCCGAGAGGCTCCTTAACTGCTGCCAGGTACATTGATGAAATTCTCCAAGATTTTGTTGTCCCTTATGTTGACTTTATTGGAAATGACTTTCTTCTAATGCATGATAATGCCAGACCTTACATCGCGAGAATCAGTCAACAGTACTTAAACGATGTAAACATTTCTGTTATGGAGTGGCCAGCGTTAAGCCCGGATTCGAACCCAATTGAACATGTTTGGAACATGCTTGGGCGAAGGATGCGAAGTCGTGTTCCTGCTCCTTTAACTTTAAATCAGTTGCAACAAGCTCTTTTAGAGGAATGGGAACATATTCCTCAAGAGGACATTCGCCACTTAATTTTAGGCATGCCAAGGAGGATGCATGCTATTATTCGAGCACGTGGGGGCAACACACGGTATTAAAAATGCGGCTCCCTAGTTTTTGCTAGCAAGTCGTTTCAGTTTTGATTAATTTAAGGTCATTTAGCAACAACACCAATTTGTGCTTTTTCGTCTTCGTTTCTTAAATTGTTACAAAACCCTTTTTTTCTTCAAATAAAGGTTCAATTGTTGTTAGAAAATACTTAAAACATGTTGTTTTGTGCATGTTTAAGATATTATAATAATAAAACATCACAAAGCATTAAAATTTTAAGTTTGTTTAAAAAAATTCAACGGCTCCGTTTTTCGTACCGGTGAGTGTATATTCTAATAGTTTATAATTATAATAATGTCAAAATGACATTTAGATCCTAACCCTAGATATTTAGACCAATCATCATTTACAATTTATAATTTATAACAAAAATTAGAATCACGAATAGCAAAATCGTCTAGCATTAGAGACTACCATAATCCCATGCTTGTCGTGTTGGTGATCGAACTTATTTGTCAAGTGCGCTTGGTGCTTTTGATGTTATGCATTTTTGGCTGAAAGTT